ACTTCCCAATAAGTACAAGAGTCAGTGTTTTAAGATATGTATACCACAGTGTGCATTACATTGTCATCCTGAATATTTTTCAAAATTATTTTAATTATTTTAATTATATTGGAAAATATAAAACTCTTAAATTTATGGTGAATATGAAATTCTTTCATTCAAAATATAATTTGTGGAATAATAAATAACAAACATGCAAATATTCTTGAGTGTGTTTGTCTATTGTATAAATTATGATTATTAAAATGTAAAATTAGACAATATAAAAATATAGAATTTGTATACATATGCATAAAAAGGTATTTTAATAACAAATTAAATAAAAATGTTATACTAACATTATTTTCTATTCTATATGCAAAAAAAAATTGTTCATAATCCTCTATTTTTATTATAACATATATTGTTTTATATACATACATTTTTTCTTTCAATTTCTATTTTTTTTAATTTTGTGATTTCGACGTTATAGTTTATCTATAATATTAATGTTAACTTTCTTATTAAATTTTGCATATTGAAATTATATTTTTAGATCTATATGTTTTCTTATATTTTTCAGATCATTATCATTGCATGATACTAGAAGTATAGCATCCAGTGACAGAGATACAAATCTTGCAAGCCAAAATGCTACTAATGCACCTGCCCTTGCGTCGTCGCATGAGGAATTCAGCGACTATTCTGAACATGAAGGAGAAGCAGTATCACCAAAACCTGCTCACAAACCTTTCTTCCGCAGATTATCTTTTAAGGGACTTAAAAAGGGCAAACAACAAAGTGATGAGGTCGAATTATCCCACATTGAACACCGCAAGGATAAGCACTCCAAAGCCAAGTTGTCGAAAATCGTGGTAGAGTGTAGGAAGGAGGGAATTATGAATACTATAATGGGAGAAAATATAGAGAAGAAAATATGGGAAAAGTCGCGACTAGCATTGATAAAAGCAATTGGTGGATACATGTTGGAATTTTATTCCCCGCCAAAAGACGTAAAACCACGAAGCGGCGTCTTTTGTTCTGCGATAACGGAAGCGAGGGAATCCACGGCGCTCGAAATGCCAGATCACGAAAACACATTTATTCTGAAAACTCAAAACGGAATGGAATTCATCATAGAGGCACATGACTCGAATGACATGAAATCGTGGTTGGCAACGATTAGGTATTGCATGCGAAAGGTGCAACAAAGTTTCAGCGCACCTGGTTCTGGACTGGGTGATTCCTTAGGAGATTCTCTCGGCCACAGTTCATTTACTATCGGACTTGATGTTGATCGAGTACGAGCCAATTCGGCGAGTAAGCACCGATCCGCTAGTCATGAACAAGATGACTCGGGTAATCCATCAGAAATATCTGCAAGAGGCCATGATATACGTAGTAGCAGTAATTTAGAATTACGTTCCTCTCAAGACGTCGACCAAAGTAAGAAATAAGTCCGTGCGCGTATTATAAGACTAATATTGTCGGACAAGTAATCGAGATTAAATCAAGTTACATATTCATTTGCTTGCAGCAAATGAGGGCGAGCAGGATTTTTCGCATAACATACGCAATTACGCATGGTTTCATGGCACTCTTCCTCGCTCTGATGCCGCGCAGTTTGTATTAGATAGAGCAGCTAATGGTCATGGTGTGTTTCTGATTCGGCAAAGTGAAACCAGAAAAGGCGAATATGTATTAACTTTCAATTTTCAAGGAAGAGCAAAAGTAATTACGAATATTATTTCTAGTGCTTTTGCCAATGAATAATATTGACAATTTTTTTCATTACACTATTCTTGTTACAGCATTTACGGATGACATTGAATGATCAAGGTCATTGTCGTGTCCAACATCTATGTTTTCCTGCAATATTGGATATGATAGATCACTTTCGCCAGAACCCGATACCTCTCGAATCCGGTGGAACTGCGGATGTTATTTTAACGGATTTTGTACTTACGACGAGCACGTTACGACCAGGACATCATAATGTGATGTATGGCTCGAACATACAATTAGTGCAAGAAAGGAGACCTCCGGCAACCTTGGAGCCTAGAGAAGTAAGAGTTCGCAGTGGAAGTCTAACTCATCTTGTGTGAGCGCGAGTGGCCAACACCCACAGTCTGAAGTCTAATCTACAGATAGTGAGTAGATAACCAACTAAAGCGCCCATATTTATCGTATGGTCGATGATACAGAACAAATTTGATCGGTGTCTGCATTTCTGTAAACTTGCTGTAAATTTAATGGAAAAATTTGTATAGATTGATATACAAAGTTAAATTATGGAATACAACTTATTTATGTACTATTACTCTTCTTAACGAGACACAATATTTGTTATAATTTATTTAATATAATATGTTTCAAAAAAAGATTTAAAAACAAATTACATAATGTATTATTAAAATTCCTTATGTGTTCATATTTTTTTCTAATTTCCTTATATCCGAGATACATAATGTTACAACACACACAATTACACTTTTTATTTATTTATTATTTTATAAATAATTTTTTTATATTGTGAATTTGTATATCATTCGCTTAAATATACAAAATTATTACCATGTGATCAAATTCTTGTGAAAAATTTGAAATAATATAAATTCATGAAATATATAATTCAGAAAAAAAATATGACCGTGGGACAAGGAGCTCGCTTTTACGTGTAAAAGCTTTGTCTTGAAATTTCTGGTTTACTTTATTATGTTATATTATAAAAGATTTATGTTCCAATTTTGTGTTGCAAGCAATATGGGAACGTCCAGAAATTATTACATTGACTAACATCACAATGATTTAAAAATAAAATATCACGTAATTTACAATTCCTTATATTAGGAATTTATAAAAAAAGTATTTGTTAAGTTAATATTAATGATATTATTAACTTAACAGATATTTTTTCATATACACATACACATATACTCTGGACGAGAGACATCCTATTTGCTTATTTCATTCTACAAAGTGCTAAAAAAACTCCATGTCAATATTTCCGATAGTGAATTTATGATATCTATAAAATATAGAGTATTGTTATTACCATAGGACATATAATCTTCAGTAATAGCAAATTTAATTAAATAAACATTCAAAATGTCTATTTTTTTCATACTAGTTTAGTTTTATTCCCTGAAATATTGACATGTATCTTTCTGACACTTTGTATATATTTTACATTACTTCCAAACCCAGAAACTTTAAGAGAAACTTTTGATAAGATAATAAGATTAAGAATATATGAGAACTTATGAGATATTAATAAAATAGGTACGCACTTATGGTGGTTCTATAAGAACGCATGTGGAATCGTTGGAGAGGCTAGAGCAACAGAACACTATTACGGAGCAACAGGGCTCAGCTTCATCCACTGGCAGAGCAGTTCAGAATACTTACAGTTTTCTCTGACGTTGGATTCATGCTAATCCACCATCGGGCTACAATCCAGTTAGTCCGACGGACTGAACATAAATAATATGATGAAGTAATCGCAAAGTTTTTATTTCCAGAATTGCATCATGCCGTAAAACTACTGTTTGAGCGCATCATTCTACTAGTACAAAACAACTGCATTTCTTTTTTGGAATGTCTATCTTCCAGTCATTGATTGTGTGTACGTGTAGCATTTAAAATTATACAATTTTTATGATTTATTAATAACATATTTGCATTGCATTTACATTGAAAAATAATAAGAAATAGAATAGACTGCTGAGAACAAAACGAATCTCAGCAATAATCATTTCATAACATTGTGCACAAATTACCACTGGATTACTTCTTCTTCAAGTAATGTTGCAGCATACTTTCCACGGAACTCCTTTTCGCATGTTCGCATATATCTACGATTCGTCTTTTTGTCAAGATTGAACAAACGGTTTCCTCGTGTATTTATAAAGAGAGAATGGATATATTTTAATGAGGAGACTGAAATCTCGTTATGTCGCTTAACTAATTTATGGTATATGTACTTACATAATATTATGCTTAAGAAAGAACATATATGCCACATGTACACAGTTTAGTAGAAAATGATAATTCTCTAAAATCGCAAACTATGAACTGCCATTGCAATCCCCATTTATGTCCATCATCCCAAAGATTTAACAAGTATGCCAAAATTAAAAATTAATACTATTAAATCCTGCTTAATTACAATTTATTATGCAAAATTGCATTTTAGCCACATTATCATTGGTCCTGATGTTTCATAGGGCGTTATGTATAATAGACATGCCCTTTAATCCATCGAGATAAGCATAAAATATGCGATACTTATTATTAATCCCACTGCATATAAATTTGCTCATTTCTTGAACAAATAAAAAAAAAGGGAGAAAGAGAGAAGAGCTATATTATTATCTTGGATAAATTGAAAGGAAAATGTATTTCGAGCTACAGTAAGTATGATTCTATGTATCCCTGCAGAAATAGCAGCATTATATTCAATAAGCGTATCAAGAAGTGTATTAATGATTAAAAAAATTATTACTGATACTGTAGAGCAATATGACTGAGTGTGTGTAAAATTAGATTATAGATAAATGTATGAATGAGTGGTACATGTACGATGGAGAGCTATGATTGACGGAATATCTGATTTGTAAAACGAGCAAAGCAGATATTCTCAATACGAGCCGAACTGATTACTGTGATAAGATCTTTCATTTGCACAGGCATCTAATAACCCCGTTGCCGTCCGCATACCAATCTTATCCAAAATCACTACAGAAACAACAGGGAAAAATTTATCACACGTATACATTTTAATTGCTTATTTGCCATCAAAACTTGTATAAATAGTATTTCCATTGCAATATTAAAAAAGAGAAAAGAAAAGATGTACAAAAATTATAGTCGATCTGAAAAAAATCTATATCACAAATTTACTCTTTAGCCAAAATGCTCGCAACATCATGCTATAAGTAGAATATAAGCTTGTTCTCTGTATATTTAAAACGCAGTTGAAACACACAACAGTCCTGAGATATTACAGAGTCTGACAACTAGGCATTCAATAAAAATACTTTTTTACCTTATGTTAAGATGCAGAAATGAAAATAAAAATACTGAATTCCCTGAGAATTTTGTAATTGTCTAATATTTAAATTCTTTACAGGTATATAATCGCAAAACGTTGCATTTTTATATTGCGTTTATTAAAATGAGTTATTATAAAAGATATGTGTGATAATACTTTAGAAAAAATATTTATAAATATTTTCATGTTATCAAAATTAACTCAAAAATATATTTTCACAATTTTTTTATTTAAAAGTAAAAAAATATTTTAATTTCTAAAAAGAATATTGTGCAATCTACGAAAGAGCAATCTTGACATGTAATAAATAAAGTAAATAAAACATTTATGACAGAAGTACATACATATAGTTTGGAGTGAAATAGGTAAACTTAAAACTTATAAATATGAAATTCTACATAGTGATTTCTTTAAATTTGATTTTTGACGATAGTATATATATATATATATATATATATATATATATATATATATATATATATTTATAAAAAAACACCATAGACATACATATAGAATGGACTGAGCGTGGCGATAGACAAACACGCGCTCGTTGTAGAAAGGGAGATACTATATAGGAGGCCTATTTTGTTTTTTTTCCTAGCATCTCATTGGTGATTTTGTCTTTTTCCATATAGAAAATCACCAATGAGATGCTAGAAAAAGGGACAAACATAAGCCTCCCATATAGTACCTCTCTTTCTACAGCGATACATATATACATATTATCTTTCAGAAACCCAGTTGTTTTTAATTTTTTATATCCGACATGAAAATTGACTATTCCGGTGAACATATGTTTTAAAATCAGAAGTGGTGTTATGATATTGAGTTACACAAAAACGGTTACTGATTAATTATTTATAATCTTTCCGCAATGATAATTTTTAATGCAATATTGTATTATTTTAGAAATATATATTAAATTATTCAACACCCTCTGTCTCGTGTATGTGTGTATATATTATTAGTTCCAGAGTTATTCCATATTATCTTTTACAATATATATTTACAGATAAGAGAGATTTCTGTTTACACTTTTGATGCAATCTCTATTTCACCTGAGGCCGAGCTAGAAATAACTCATTTGCCACGTCAAACTGTATTATCTTCATTATGGCAGCTCAGGTAATAATAAAATATAACACGGTTTCAAAGAAATTTAAACAAATAAAGTGTTTGACAAGTGATCTATTTATAAGGTACACGAATTCAGCGTTGAAATGACATGTGAAGGATGCTCAACTGCTGTACAGAATGTGCTTAAAAAAAAAGCAGGTATGTATATAAGAATATTTGCAATCAATTTCGATCAATCAAATGCAAAAATATTTTTATACCATGTATAATTATGTTTCGTAAATATCTTATTAATATTTTCTAAATCATTTTCATAAAAATTGATCGAATGTATAAAATGAGGTTAAATGTGCTTTGGTGTGTTATATGTAAGAAAATTGAAATATTGAAATATAAAAATAATTTTAATAAAAAAGATGATGCCAATATTACAGCTTAGATTTTAAATATCTTGAACATATAAATCACTATGTTTTATATTATTTATAGGTGTCGACAATATCAAGATAGATTTACCAGAGAAAAAGGTATCCGTGACTACTGCGCTTGATTCAGATGAGATTTTGGAGACAATCAAGAAGACAGGAAAAACATGTCAATTCTTAAGGTCACAAAAATGAGGATCTATACAGTGTGATTATGGTGCTGCTAATATATCAGGCATATATTATAACAGAAAAATTTTGTTATAATATACATGTTATACTTTCTCTATTAAAAAAAATTATATTTTAATGGTTCATTTGATATGTATACAAAAGTACAAAAATAGTTTAAAATCTTATGTAGTAAAATATTTTTTATATACAGTTCATACACACACATCACACTCATATTACAAATTAAAGTTTCGAATTTGCAATGCATTATATGATATTGCAATTATACATATATTTATATTAACCATGATGCTCAATATAATAGAAAAAAGAAAAACTTTAATGTGTAATTGTTGTAATATATTTCATCAAGTTATTTGCAATTCAAATTCTGCTTGAAAGATATAATTAATTATCAATTTTTCACACACACGCACACACATATTATTCTAATCAATAATTAAAAAATTTTTAAATAGAGAAATAAAAATTATTTTATAATTGCCTCCTCTAATACTGTCAAGCGTTGTTCTAGTATATTAACAGTATCATGCAACGATTGTACTTGATCACACAATGCTTCTACTGCTTTAATGGATTGACTAGACGAATGCATATAAGCCGATATCCGATCTTGCTGATCTAAAACATTTGCTGTACGATGTCTTTCAGGTTTAATGTTTCTTGTATTAATCACTTCAGGCTCAATTTTTTTTCTTGGTATCTCGGCTATGGGTCCTTTACAATGATTTCCATCTGATCTCAAATCCAATTCCTCTAATGTTTCTATTAAATACTGAAATAATATATCCTATAAAATTTACAGCTAATAATATAACAATTAACACACTTTTTCTTAAAACGCACGCAATCGTTATGTTCTCTATAGCTTAATATATTTTATTTGCATATCAATTTATTACTTCCTCTTGATCATGCTCCTCTTGCATATCTTTGTGCTTGTCATTGTTTGCAAATGATTTTTCATCTACATTATCAAATTCCTGTTTGCTGGAAGTAGGTATTAATTGTCTAGCAATTTTGCTAGGTTTGTCATCCTTACAAAAATTAGATTTCCACATTAGGATCTGTCGATCTGTGCCACCAGAAGCGAAAAAATCACCATCTTGTGAGAAAGTTATTGATGTTACATTACCAACATGTCCCTTCAAAGTATAAATTGGTCGGCCCTCTAATAAGTCTAAAACCTAAATGTTTATCTTATTTTTTATTAGAAGAAATAAAGACAGTTTACTCTGAAATCACTATACATATGGAGTCATGAAATATTAAATTACCTTCATCGTAGAATCGCTAGAAGCTGTTAACATAAAGTTACCCTTTGGATGGAACTTGATCATATTTACAGATCCTTTATGGGCAGCATAATGTTGGTATAAAGAGCCTGTTCTTAAGTCATATAGTTTAATACATGCACCCACATTTGCTGATCCAACAGCTGCACCACTTGGATGGAACTCTACATATGCAGCAGGTGCTAACAAAAACAATATTTTTTATTCTGGATGTTAAGAATGCAAAATTATCATATATCTATCATATATCTAACCTTTTATTTCATTAAAAGTCTTAATGCATTGTCCAGAAATAATGTCCCATACTTTTATTGTTTTATCATCGCTACAAGACACTAAAAGTCTACCATCGGGAGAAAATTTAGCACACCGAACCCAATTTGTATGTCCATTGAATGACATGAGGAATCTTCTCTGACATACCATCCATAACTTTATACTTTTATCATCTGATGCGGTAAGCAACTAAACAAGCAGTCAATCAAATATTATGGCAGAAACAATAAATTAGCTAAAAATTAATTAGGGTGAGATTTACCTTTTCTCCATCTGGACTAAATTGTACAGATCTCACCGCAGAACTGTGAGCTTTGAAGTCTATTGATTGCCCTGTAACTTTAGGAACCCATATTCGCACAGATCTATCCTTTGAAGCACTGGCTATAATTTCTCCAGATGGTGCATAGCATACATCCAAAATACTATCTTTATGGGCTATAAATCTATAAGCTCGCACTGATTCTGTCAAATTCCATACTAATAATGTTTTATCCAGACTACTTGATACAAGTTGAATAGCATTTGGATGAAAGCATAAAGCTGTAACTCCATCTCGGTGACCTTTAAAGTGTCTCTCGAATGTAGGATCACAGGCAGTCGCCACCATTGCTCCTGATAACATAATAAAATTGTTTAGAAATATGCATATAAAATATAAAAATACATAAAGTAAAAATATATGATTTATATATATATGTGGCTGGGTAATATATATAAAGCTTGATAAAAACTTATATTAATCTAAATAATTTAACATTTATACAGAATAAATGTTAAATTAGTTCAGTGCATAAAATAATTCCAAGACACATTTAAATTTAAAATTAAAAAATATTAAATAAAAATGTAACCCTAATATGTTTCGTTAAATATTTATCACATTTTTTAATAAATTCTTTAATACTTAATAATACGATTTTCATAACACAAGTATAAAACTAATAAAATAGTTTATTAAACGCGTTATTAATGCTTTCTATTATTTACTATTTAATATTCCTAATGAGACGCTAAAGTGTCTCTCGAATGTAGGATCACAGGCAGTCGCCACCATTGCTCCTGATAACATAATAAAATTGTTTAGAAATATGCATATAAAATATAAAAATACATAAAGTAAAAATATATGATTTATATATATATATATATGTGGCTGGGTAATATATATAAAGCTTGATAAAAACTTATATTAATCTAAATAATTTAACATTTATACAGAATAAATGTTAAATTAGTTCAGTGCATAAAATAATTCCAAGACACATTTAAATTTAAAATTAAAAAATATTAAATAAAAATGTAACCCTAATATGTTTCGTTAAATATTTATCACATTTTTTAATAAATTCTTTAATACTTAATAATACGATTTTCATAACACAAGTATAAAACTAATAAAATAGTTTATTAAACGCGTTATTAATGCTTTCTATTATTTACTATTTAATATTCCTAATGAGACGCTTTTGAATTGTATGAATCATATGTGTATACATACAGAGAGGAGAGGATATATTTTCTATAATATATAATATTATATAGATTTTACGTACTCGAAATATTTTATCGAAAGGTTTATACGTTGCGTCTGAATTAAAAATGTTTTACATTGTTCGATATTCTTTTCTATATCGATATAAAAATATCAAATAAAAAATTTTTGATGAATAGAATCTCTCCGGTATGTTCTTATTTCGATTGCCCTCAGATTACGCATTGAAAATTGAGATTGAAGATTGATATTTGACCAATCAGAACAAAGAAATTTTAGCTCCTTTTGTTCTGATAATAATTCCATATTAAATTCCAATCTTTAATTTTCAATACGTAATCTGATACGGGGTTTATAAACGGACTAGACCTAGAATTTATAAATACAATTTTCATCAGCAATATCGAAAAAATTGTTTTGGCTATATAATTCTACGTAAGTTTTGAAATGGATGTAGATGGCGGTATTAAACGAGGCTGGTAAATGTATAGGATAAACTTCAGAATGACTGCTTTCTGCTTTCTTAAGCTTCTCTGTGCTTATGTAAAGAGAGTTTCTTGCGAGATAATTTTTTGATTGAAAGTATTAAAAAAACACAAAATAAATAAAGTTTGTGTAAAATAGAAATCAACGATGATCGATATTATAGAAGCCGAATATATCCAAACGCTTTGTCACATAAGTAAAATCGTATCGGATGGTAAGTCTAATTTTATGCTTACATTTGTGTATGTAATCTTTAAATTTTCAATTGTTTTCTCATGGCAAATTTCATTCAATACACTAGACAAAAACCTGCTGTAGACACTAATCTATTTACATACGAAAACATAATATATAGTAAATTCTGCTTTCATGGATAATTTTTATTCACGTAGAAATCTTCTAACGCGTCTACACACTTGTATCCTTCGAACAAGTAAGCGAGAGCCTTGTTAAGTTAAATATTTGTGCTTATCTGATATACAATACAGCCGACCTCGTCTTTGACGTTAACTCATCTCGTCCAACTCTTTTGATTTTATTCTCATCTTTGGCACATTGTCAACACGATTTATGATATAATTCCTGGTAGATAAACTAGTCTAAGCATCATTTATATGTTGTCAATCATTCCCAATCAGGTGACAGAATTCATTGTATAAATACCTGGATTGATAAAATTCTTAATATATATATTATATATTCAATCTTGAAACAATACAATAAATTGTATCCTGCTTATATATAGACTGCTATTTTGATTTGTATATCTTTAATGTGTACTAATATATGTATTAGTACATTCAACCATATTCTATAAGATTTATATGTTTGGTCTTTGTTTAGATAGCTTGTATGAGGAAACCATAGATGGTGTACCAATACGAAAATTATTTGTCGATAATTTGGCTGATAGGGTTTGTGATTTTCCTTATTCTTATGCAATATATTTTATCAATATAATGATACAAGTACTATATAAACATAAAAAATTTTTTAGACAACTTTTAAAGATTTACGTAACTGCTTTTCTGTATATGGAAATATTGAAAATTGTTACTTACGTAGAAATCAAGGGAAAAAAAACTACGCATTTGTTACATTCACCAGAGTAGAGGACGCAATGGCGTAAGTTTGAAAAAAGCGATTACTAACAAATTATAGGTACAATGGTTATTTGTAATAAATTGTTTGTAGAGCCATGCAAGATGGGAGTAGGAAACAAATAAGACTACATAATAGGGATTTAAGAGTGATGGCTGCAGATTCCTGGCATCAACCTGATAGTGTAGATCAAAAATTGTATAATATAGGAAAAGAGTCAAACAAAACTTTTGAGAAGAAGACTACTAATGAACAATATCATCAATGTTTGCAAAATGATGTTGAAGATGTGTCCATTCATATATTGAATGATGATTGTTTGAGACATATTTTTTTATTTTTACCAATTATTGACAGAGTCCGCATAGAAAGAGGCAAGTACTTTATCATATTAATGTTAGAGGTTTTATATATCTAGCTCGAACATATTGTATTTATTATTTTTGCTCTCTATAAGATAGACTCTTTATACATTATTTATACATTGTTGTTATAGTTACTATTGTTTTTATAGTTTTTATAGTTATAGTTACTATTGTTTTTATAGTTTGCAAACGCTGGAGAGATCTAAGTCAGGACTCTTGGCGTATGATGAAAACATTGGATCTTTCACCCTCTACATGGGGTTTCTTAGAAACTCATACAATTCGTACAGCAACGCTCCGTAAAGTATTATTAAAATGTGGCAAGTTCCTAACACAAATAAATCTATCTGATACGAGTAATTTTTTACGGCAAAGTACACTGACCATTGTTGGAAAACTTTGTCCTAATCTTATGAGTATCGATGTTACTGCATTAACAA